TTTTCGTTTCGTATATCTCTGAACATAAACTCTTTTATATTATTTATTTACTAAAAACGTGTCATATAGTCTAAAGTTTTTGATATTTTAGGAAATAATTTTATGCGGATTGCGGACTACACCCCATCTTTCAGCATACTTTGATTTTTCCTTCATATAAAAGCAAATATTAATCGAATATTTTTAAGACGAAAATTGGTGATCGAAATCTAACTTGCTTGAAAAAAATCAAAACAAAGAAAATTTCATTTTCCGGAAGCGGTGAAAATTTTTTAACAGAGAATTATCTTATTTTACCTATCGTGCAGCGAAAATGATATTGGTAAAAAGATAAAACGCCTTTATTGCTATTTAAAAATCAAATCGTCAGACTTAATAATTATGTAGTAATGTATCACAGCTCCATCCTCTATAGGTGGCTGGACACTGGTTAGCAACCTTGTTCTAAATCAATCCAATGGAATGGATGTCTTTCTGAAAGATGATTATAAAGAAATCAGTGAATACAAAAACCAAAAGCTTGCAATATCTACGTATGCTCTCCGCGACCTCGCATCAAACATGTTGTTTAATCAAATCAGATTTTTCTGCCGTAAAAAGATCCCGGGACGAATCTTTGATATCGCTACTAATAAAACCAACAATCTTGGTCAAGAAGTTATTAAGTATTTTACTGCTCAGACAAACACCTTTCCCAAGAGCTGTGGATCTTATTATCGTTTACCTGATGACAATTCGATGATGGCCAGTCAGTGTTCTCAGTGGGGTTATGAATCGGGAAATTACTATGTTGGCAAATGGCATCACGAAGGACTTCCGGTGAAAGATCGTTTATTTGAGCTTCCCGTCTTTATTAGCTACAAGGCTCACTGGTTTATTCAACAACCACATGGCCGTTGGGAATGCGATGATTTCTCTTCGTATAATAATTACACAATGTCGCGAAATGATTTCTGGAAAATATTTGTTCGTTAAAATGCTACCTACTCTATATCGCCTATTGACGTAGCTATACATGCACGCATCGTAGCCGTACCAGCACTTTTAAATCTGATTTTCTATATCTTTAGTAAAATTATTGATCAGAGACGTAGCAAGGATTTTGGGGAAGGGGGGTCGAAAAAACTAGGTGAGACCAGGTCGTATTATTTATTATAATATGTATTATAATTATGTGACTATATATTATAATTATTATATTATATTATATTATTTATTATTATTATTATTATTATCCACTTTAGTCTAATTCAAGATCTAGGCAAAGGAAAGGTAATAAATCACCGCTGCTAGAAAGAGCCTACTAAAATTAAGATCACAAAGTAGTCATGCGCATTTGGCAAATTTTGTATACTTTTGTTTATTTCAATTTATGTTACTTGCGAAATCTAAATTATTTACACATTTCGCTGCAAAATGTGGCAATTTAAATAATTGTATGTTAATCTTTCATAACATTAAACATGGAAGTATAGCGACTCAACAGTAATTTCCAATAACCTCATGCATGCCAACTAACATGCTGTTGTAGGATAGCACATGCATGTTTTTAGTTTGGTCAGTATACTTTATTTTATTTCTCCCAAATTTGCTGTAATGGTTATAATTCCTTTTCAAGAAAAAAGTTTAAATTCTTGTTTCCTCAATGTAAACTTGATATTAAACAATTATTGAATGAGGTTGAGCAGGATATGAGGAATTATTAAGGCCGAGGTTTGTGTTATCTGCCGAAGCCGAAGGCTGAGGCGGATAACACAAACCGAGGCCTTGATAATTCCTCATATCCTGCGAGAACCGAATTCAATAATTGTTTTATTATTTATTTGCAAAAATTGAACCTTTCCTTTGATGAAGCCATTCGTATTTTCCCGCTTTTAGGTTTTGGCACAAGCCGCATAAATTAGCGTGACGTCATACCGTGCAAAAATTTTTTTAATATCTGACGAAGTGACGTCAAACGTGCAATAATTTTTTTCATATCCGACGAAGTGACGTCACTGTCCAAATTTGGGCAGCTGCCGAGCGGATATGACGATTTCGCCAACAGCTGCTGGCCAATCAAAACTCTTGACTCATTTTCAATAAATAATAATCATTGTTGATGAATACGTACATTTTGCCGCAGTTTAGTTATCAAATAGATAACATTGAACCCTTGTTTGTTCAGTTATACATACACAGCATGACGTCATTTGTGAGAAGAACAAAACAAAGTAGCCAGGAGACGCCGGGTGATTGTTCTTATCACAAATACATCATAACGTGTCTCTATAACTGAAAAAACAACGGTTCAATGTTATCTATTTGTTTAATATAATAAAATCGAAAAAATTCTGAAATTAAAATATAAATTATATTTCCCCAACACTTGCAAAATTCTAAAAGTAAAAATTTTGCATATATCATGCGTACATGATCTATGGGATTGGAGAAATGCTATTGGGTAGCTTAAGAAAAGTGCTAAAATGTGATTGGCTGCCAAAATAATACTGGAGGTAACTGATCAAATTCGGTCAAATTATCTGTGACATCATTCCGTGAGTCTGTCCCTTTTAGAACATAGCTCTCGACGAATAAAATTGCTTGACTTCGTACCGTTATTATATAATTTGCTATGCATGCACGACGTTAATAATTTTAGGTACCTTTTCTGATTGCATCGATCTACAAATTCATAATTTCGCTTAGACCCATAGCTACATACTTAGCGGGAAAACAAGAAATTTCACGCCTTATTTTCGCACCAATTTTAGTTTAAATCGCTATATTCTCGCGTGTTGAATGCATATTATAGATTACCCCTGAGGTACATATAGGCATAAGTAAATTATCTTTAGATCAATTGTATCTTGTGTAATCAATTATGTAGTGTTGTCGTAGATTAACAACACGTATTATATGTATGGTCTCAGTTATTAGGCATTTGGTAATATGCCCGTGATAGCCACGCCGAGCTATGAAAATAAGTACATAAGTTAATATTTAGAGACATGCACTACAGATATTTTATGTAACACTATGGCAAGCCAAACTGGACAAAAGCAGGTCGAGATGTGTACGCGATAAACGAGAATTGCATGCAATATATGAGAAATGTATACTATAGTCGAGAAAAGTGTAAGCGACTGTCGAGAATTGTTATTGTAAGTCGAGAAACGTATACGATTGTCGAGAGTTTTGCTGCTGTGTGCGATAGTTGAGAAAATGCAAACGAATGAAACGATACTCGAGATTTTCGCCTGTGCCTTTGGTCAGCGGTACGTGGTCGGAACCGATGGAATTTAGTGCATTTAGAAGCGTCATGGCTGCCAACGTGGATGAGCTGCAAAATTTTGTCAGTGCTCTTGATAGTTTGTTTCTTCAATGTCAGAGATCTCAATGTAATCGGGATCCAATAGGATCAGAACATTGCAAGAACAAAATGGAAGACTATATTCTTATCGTAGTTGCTATGAAGACAGCTGTAGATGAAAATACAGCGCCAAATTCGTCGTTAAGAATTTTGCTTGGTAATTTGATTGCTGCAATGGAAAGAGAACTCGAAAAGTTAGCTGAGATTGTCGACAATTATCCCATCGAGGAAGTAAGAAATGTTATTTCGCTTTTGCCTAGTACGGGAGGAAGACCTGCATATAACATCACCAAGGTACAAATCGAACAGTTGAGAGAAACAGGGATGAAGTGGTGTAACATTGCAGAACTTTTGGGTGTGTCTGAGCGAACCCTTCAAAGACGAAGGATAGAATTCGGAATTGAACCAAGTTTCTCAGAAATTTCAGATTATGATCTGGATAATCAAATAAGAGAAATTCTCCAATTGACACCATATAGTGGTGAGTGTTACGTCAGAAGGTAGTTTAAAAGGAAGACATAAATGTCCAAAGACATAGAGTTAGAGCTAGTATCCAAAGAGTCGATCCAATTGGTAGGAGTATACGAAAAAGGTATGCAATTTGTCGACGTGTCTACAACGTTCGTGGGGCAAACCATTTGTGGCATATTGACTCTAACCATAAATTGATATCATGGAGATTTGTAATTCATGGTTGCATTGATGGTTTTAGCAGAACAGTTATTTACCTAAAATGTTGCACAAACAATAGAGCAGACACTGTTCTTCGCTTGTTTGAAAACGGTGTGGGAGAGTTTGGCCTACCATCTAGAGTTCGAGGTGACCATGGCGTCGAGAATGTTGATGTGGCAAGATACATGGTTTATAACAGAGGCACCGATAGAGGCAGTTTTATCGCTGGTAGAAGTGTGCACAATCAGCGTATTGAGCGATATGGGCAGAAGTCAACAGAGTTATGACAGCGCTATACAAGGATTTGTTCAAATTTCTAGAGAGAAGTGAACAACTTGATTCCCTTAATGAAGTACACCTTTTCGCTCTCCAGTATGTTTTTTTACCTCGCATCAATGTATCCTTAGCTGAATTCCGAAGGCAGTGGAATCATCATGGAATGAGAACTGCCAATCATCAGTCACCATTAGCATTATGGCATACTAATATGATAACAGTCCCAGATGATTCGACAGTAATTAACTGGGAATCCTATGGAATTGACTACAGTACCTCAGGACAAGCAATTCAAACAAACAATAACATTGTTATTCCTAATTCAGATATTGAACTTACTGAAGCACAACTCCATTACCTGCAACAAACGGTAAATCCTTCCCAGGATGATGGGAATAATGGTATAGGACATTTTTTAAATACAGTGGACATAGTTGGTGATTTTATTTCTGAGGAAACAATAGACATTTGAATTGTTTAATTAACTATAGTACCAGTAAAAACAAACATTGAAATTACATCAATCCCATAAACTATGTAATTTATTTCATTAAAACAACAAAGAACCTGCAGTACAAATTTTCTGCTTAACAATGTTAAAGTGATAGTTGTGCTGGAACAGTATCAGTGTTTATACTTATGAATTATAAAAAATTTCTTTATTAAACATACTATAAAGGCCACAGACATAAATCACCCTTTCAATGTGCTTCGAATATTTAGTATGATAAAATATCCATTGAAAACTTTGGAAAAAACATGGAAAACACATGATAAAAAAACTTGAAGTGCAATCAGCAAAAGCCATGTTTGTTACCTTGTTTAATAAACTGCATATTAAAAATTTCATTAAAACTGAAATTTGAGAGGATGCAAGTATGAAACCTTTAACTATTGTACTTCATGAATAATTCCCATTCTGTTCTAATTACCATCTCAATCATGCTTCTTTCATTAAATACATGGAAGTTGCTCTGTGGAACCTAAACCAAACAAAAACTTAGACTACTATACATCGTTTAAACCAGTTTGTACTCTACACAATGTCAAATGACCATGACTGATACCCCCTCATAATGTTTAGGAACTCTTCAGCAAGAGCCAAATACGATTCATAAGTTGAGGGTAGCTCAATTAAGGGGGCACATGTACGAGCAATGGGCCGTCTTTCCACACCAGTGAGGGTACTGAATATAACTGTGATTGAATCGCAGGTGATGATATCACTTCCTGTGCAAAAATGCAAGAACTTTGCCAATGCTTGGCCTTCCAGGGACTTCACAAATCGCTTCAGGTGGGCAAGACTCTCTCGTTCAGCATCATTGGAAGGCTCTGCTCGAAATAGCTTTATAATTTTCTTTGCAGTAGGGGTCTTGCTTTTATACAACTCTTTGAGATCCTCAAAGGTTTGGAATGCTTTATGCTCTTGTAACATATGTAATATAGGAGCCCAACAGTTCACAATATATCTTGGTTTCTGTATCAGCTCCTGATGTGCCAATTCGTTGATTATTTCTTTAATATTTTCCTGCGATGCTACTCTAAAGCACTTCAAAGAAGACAAAAAGTCACTGACATCTTCAGCATCTTTGTCAAAGCTATCACCAAGACACTGATCCAGAACATCCTGGTCTTCAGCTGGGATATATTCTTTGAATGTGGCAAGTAGAAATTCCGTTGTGATGCATTCCTCCCCAAACAAGCATGATGCCATGAACAGAGAAGAAAGTTGAAGTGGGAAATAACCATAATTCTTGTAACCATAGACAAGAATACGAGCAATAGCTTGCCATTCACGTTTCTGCATATCGTGCCTTATGAATGGTGTTTTCTCCTTCCTTCCCACAGCTAAAGACATAAAACAATTGTCCCAAAAATGTGTCAAAACATCCAATATAACACCCTTCCCTTTTCCTTTCTCTGGTTCACCACGTGCATCGATCACAACCACATCAAGATAACTGTTCAAAATGCTTGGGTCGGTAAATATTTCAGTTAAATCTTTACGGATGGTGGATCGGTGGACGGTGACTGTTTTGGGAAGCATTGGAGTGTACATTGATATTAAATGCAAATCGGCTAAAAAGACAAAGTGAAGAAATTAGTTTATTTGTTACAGGTTAATTAGAACATAATATTTTTAGTACATCAAATTCCTACCTTCATCCATATCAGAAAAAACCTGCCCTGTTTCAACATCAATAATTTCCTGCTGTGGACTATGAGTCTGATCTTCATGTTCACCAATTTCTTCATCAACAACATTGGGTGGAGGTGGTTGGGTGTTGACATTAATAGGAGGGTGGTTAGAGTTGACATTTATTTGATTAGGTTGGATTGCTTGGGTCTGTTGGGTCTGTATAGGTTGGGTGTTGACATTGGCCTGCTCGGGTTGGGTGTTAAGACAAGGCAGTGTAGGCTGGCTATTAACATTTGTCAGGGAAGGCTGGGTATCAGCATCGGTTGGAGGGTGATTGGAATTGACATTTGTTAAAGGGGGGTGGGTGGCTGCATTCATTGTAGTAGGTTGGATGTCAAAATTGGCATGTTGGGACTGGGTGTGGGAAGCAGGTATGTTGGAATTGAAATTAAATGAATGGGGATGGGTGGTAACATTGCTTTCATCAGTTTGGCAATCCAGAAAACACTCATTTAGATCTAATTCTTCTTCTTGAGCACAGGTTGACAGAGGACTTGACAACATATTGGTTTGCTAAGGATGATAAAAGTATGTGGACAATCTCATCAAAAGTTTACTACAAACTAATGAAAACAGGATAAATGCTCATTATCACAGGAATTTAAGTCATTAGATTGCAATTAGCCTAGTGAGTAGTAAGCACTTAGGTAATGTAAAGTACATGATGGCTTCTTGAGCAAAATTTTGTTAACATACTGTAAAACTTGCCTAACTCTTTAACTGCGCAGAGGGATTTCTGCATGTATGTATGTATTTTAAATTAACAATATAAAATACCTGTGCTACATTTCCATATGAGGCCAAGTCAAAGAGTTGTTGATTTGGGCGGATATAAACAGGCTTATTTCTATACAGCCGCTGTAGCATGGCACCATCTATACCATGCTGTCCAGGTGCCAATGATGGAACCACCAGACGTGAATGAACAGAAACTAATAATTCAATATCCACACCGGGTGGAATTTTACCATCAAAAGCCTCAATTATCGCTCTTTCGACTTCCATCATTGACTGACTTTTTGTAAATCTGCACCCTGAAATAACGTGACCTCTTTCATTCAGAGCGAGACGTGTTCCTTGCCGAGGTACGACTTGGTCGTCAGGGCCACTTAGTAAAACCAAATCTCGCAAAAATGGCTTGTTTTCGCTAACGTTTGCTTTTTGTTTTCCCTCCTTGCGAGTCGAGCGCGAAGGTCGTTGACCTGGAAAATGGTGTCTTACTGAGTAAGGTCTATATCTATTCGATGTTGGTTCACTTGATCTTGAGGTGGAAGGTCTTGAAGTAGATGATGGTCCGATGCTTGCATTATTGCCTGTAAAAGTGCGTCTCACCTCCGACTCGGTGTCGACTTGATTTGGTCGTCCTGAAATCGCATCAGACAGTTCCCCGATTCGTGAAAACAATTGCCTTATGATATCGTTTGACTGTTCACGATTACCGTCCCGGTTCCCGTCCCGGTTCCCGTCTGCCATATTTGAATAATATGAATACTTAATCAGCTATTTTTTGAAAATTTTTGAGTCTAAAGAATACTGCGGAGTGCGGTCAAAATGGCGAACGTAAAGCCAAATTAAGCCATAGGTAAAACGCATGCGTGGGTTCCAAAAATAGCGGGAAAATGTCACCAAAACAACAAGCCCTGTCCTATTCGGAGTCATGCAATATTTGTCAATTTGTCATATCATATTCCGACCACGTACCGCTGACCAAAGGCACAGGCGAAAATCTCGAGTATCGTTTGCATTTTCTCAACTATCGCACACAGCAGCAAAACTCTCGACAATCGTATACGTTTCTCGACTTACAATAACAATTCTCGACAGTCGCTTACACTTTTCTCGACTATAGTATACATTTCTCATATATTGCATGCAATTCTCGTTTATCGCGTACACATCTCGACCTGCTTTTGTCCAGTTTGGCTTGCCATATAACACTTAGCTTAGTTTCTTCACCTCTTACTCCAAGCTGGGGACTGCTTATTCTTGCTGAGGTGGATTGTTACGCAACTCTTAATTGTGTTTAGTTATATGTGTGTTAAAATAGTCGCAAAAATAGAAATATAACCTGGCAATGCTTAATTACTTTTCCTTTCTTGCATGCATTCCGTGGGATGCATTTTTAAACTAGTACAGGTTCTCATGTTTTTGATTTCTTTGGACATAAACAAAATGCCTTATAGATTTAGAAAATATGATAATAAATTTTCCGTGATTACTAGACAGAGATATAGCAATTCAAATGTAAACAAAGCGTTAGTTTACATTACTGATTGCATGTAACCCGGCCACCTTTAAGAAACCCAAACAAGTCAAAAGGAAGAAGAACGTACCAAATATTACGAACACTACCGGGTGGCGCAAAAAAAATTTCCCCTTCTTAGATTTATCGTGATTGAAAAACTAATACAGATATCTTATTCAAATAAAGTTTTTTGAACGCTGTGATGTCTAACTTAATTTTGATATATGTCTTGAACAATTCTGTACAATATTAGTCGAGATCGAGCCGTTTAAAATAAAGGTGCATTTTTTGACGAAGCGAATAACATGACTAAATATCGCGACTTAAATAAGTTATTTTCAACTTCCACGATAGGCGTTCTTTAAAGCGTTTTTTATGTTGTCTTTGCATGTTTAAAGATTCTTAGATTAAAGTATTCGAAGTATAAGTGTATTTGATGTTAAAATGATACTGTTCATCGTTCGAACAAGGAGTTGCAATGCACAAGGGAACGAAAGCAAAGGAGCTGGCCCCCTTTGTTATAAACATGCCTCGTTTAACAATACAGCAACGAGTTTGGATTTGTTTGAAATATGCGAGGACTAATAATGCAAGGGAAGCTTTACGTCGATGGCAAATCATTGGAATAATATTCCATCTGCGAGCATAAAAACAGTGAGGATTTGCCAGACGAAGCTATCAATACTTTGTTCTTAGTGTTGCGTGCTGTTTTCAGTCTATTTTAGAACATATTTTGCTTCTCCCAGAAACGCTACCTTGAGTTTAAACGCCTAAAACTTGGCTAATATTGTATAGAAATGTACAAGGCTTACATTAAAATTTAAGTTAAACACCACTCCACTCAATAGACGTTACTTGAAAATGATATCTTTTTTAGTTTTTAAATTAAATTAAGTCAAAGGGGAGGAACATTTTTTTGAGCCACCCGGTGGTTAGCCAAAATTTTAAAGATTTGGTGGAGGAACGGCTTTTGGTATACCTCGGCTGTAAAATGCGTATAGCTTTAATTAAAAAACGTATACATGTGCATCATTGCGATGGATACCTGCACTCTAGTAACTCTAGTAACCTCTTTTCGTGGCTCCCTAGAGTTTTGTAAAAACTCTAGACAGCTGATTTGTTCATTGTTGTGCCGAATTAAACACGAATATTATGGACTAAAGATCAATAGTACTTTTGATTATATTGTACAGTGCGTTAGGGATTAGAAACGGTTGACGGATTAATTATGCCTAGCAAACAATGACGTGTCAACATGGCTGCAAATTTTAATTTTATTGCAATTATTTAGTGAATCCTTCGACGATTTTTTTTATTTTTCACCAAATGCTTTGCAAGTCATTTATAGTAAACGACCGGACAATTTTTTAAAAAAGTTATCGATAGGATTTGTTTTAATTGCGTAAAACTACGTTTTCGTACTTTAATTTTTTTGGGTATCGATAACTTTTTTCTAAAATTATCCTGTCAATTAATAACCATCTGGCAAAACGTTCAGTAGAAAAAGAAGACATTTCGTTTGTGAAATAATCGTAATTTAACGATAATTGGTGCATGGCCATATTGAAACGTCACTGTTGCCATTGCAACGGCTTCTATAAATAGTTTTCAATACATTCAATGCAACTTTCCCAAAACTCTAGGAAGCCACCTTAATTCCCTTTTACCAGTTAAATGCTTCACCAATTAAATATTTGCCATCATTTTGAATTTGGATTTCCTGCCGTGCACTTTTGCTCACAATTCCCGTGCGGTTCTTTTTCAATATTTTTACAAGAGCTTATGTCAAAAACTGTACAACACCTAGTAATATAAAAATATACTCAAATACATCAAACTATCAAAAACAATATGCGCATTGCGATTGAACCTGCGCCACTCTATATAATATTAAATATTTATTAGTATAGTATAGCGTAGTATAGTATAGTATACTTAAAAAGTAAAAATAACATGGCATAATTATAATGATTATAATGTTTAATGTTTCACACACTACGGATCTCCTTTTTTGCAGTCTTAGCAACTTCGAGTGTTTAAGGTTGAGGAGGCGGTACTTCTTGAATAACTACGCGCGAAATGGATCGCCAGCCAGTACACACGTATCCAATTTCGAATACTTCACACTTTCCCACTAAGAATCCAACGTGTATTTGGCCTTTTGGGATCTGATCGCAGTAGCCTTCAATATGCCGATGACGAAAAGGGTCATCTTTGCTGCCGTGTTCGTGGTACACAAGACCTTCAATAGTTGCTGGGTTTGCACATTCTGCGCCGTTAAATGTAAAATACCATCGAGCACAGTTATTGACTCTGCTCTTCTTACAGCACGAAGGTTTCCAGCAAAGAATACTCTCAAGGATGTGTTATCATATCTTTTATGAAAAGTCTAAACTGGCCTTTAGGATCACTGTTCTGAGTTACGAAATTGATGTAGGGTTCTGTCATCTTCTCTTTTTCCCGCTTATTTTTGTGAGATGACGAGAAAGAAAATCTGCTGGATTGTTTGCACCCGATTTATATATTATCTTGAACGCATATGCATGGTTGGAGGCGAACCACGGTACACGTCCAACCAACGTTGGAGGCGAACCACGGTACACGCCCAACCATAGTTGGAGGCGAACCACGGTACACGCCCAATCAACGTTGGAGGCGAACAACGGTACATGCCCAACCATGGTTGGAAGCGAACCACGGTAAACGCCCAGCCAACGTTGGAGGCGAACCACGGTACACGCCCAACCATAGTTGGAGGCGAACCACG